GTGAATTAATTCATTGTTTTGCTTTGCTTGTGTGCGCAGCTTTTGCTTTCTCTATTAAACTGTCTTTATCTCAACCCATGGGCTTTTCGAGTTTTTACCCTTCGGATTCTCTCCCCCATCCTGTTGGTGGGGCAGTGTGTGAGTGGCTGCATTGTGGTTCTTGGCTGCTGCTGGGGTTAAACCACGACAGTTCATTACATCAACCATCTCAATAGCATCTGTGTGCGCAGAGAGGGATTTTCTTCTGGGACATCCCGGTCTCAGCATTTCCAGATAAAACGAACATCTTTGTGGGAACTACCAATGTGTAAACAAGACACAGAACAGAACAAGACACACTCGGTATAAAGATAAGTCAGCATTTTGCATTTAACGTTGTCTGAGTAAAATGAGCACCAACATAACAGTGAAGAAACATTCCTGTTTCTTCATCTAGTCCTTCATCAATGTAATTGGAGATGAGTTAACCTGTAAACTGTTCCACTATCTCTATGATATGTTCAAGGTCTCAGCAGGTCCCAAGATAAATTAATCTTGTTTAAATTCTTTAAATAGCTGTATCTAAAAATATATTATCATCTCTTAACCACAGTAGCATTAAAATTGGCTAATGAGAAGCATGCCGGTGAATCTGTGAGAGGAAACTGAAAAAAGATTGAGGCATACTCATTTTAGTTTTCTTGCTCATGTGTTCTTGTACCTCATGGTAACCATCACAAAATGTCTCCTGCAGCTTACCAAATTCAGACTGTGACAAAATCTTAAGGCTCAAGGAGTTTGCCACAGATAGGGCTGTAGTATCAGGCACAGAAAGATGGACTAAGAACTAATCTGAGGTTTTTTACGGATACTCACAACAAACGCAGAGGAAAGAATATTCTAAGAAAGAGCCACCCTATTACAAATGCATGAAAATAAAATGCATCCTCTTGAAGATGCTGGACTCCAGTAAATAGGACAGGCATGTAGAGAGATGAGACCAGGGACCATATTGTTATAACAGTCTCCTAAACAAAGCAATTTAGTACTGACGCTTTGGTGAGCTTTGACATTGGATAAAATTGAAACAGTAATTTGGGCCCTAATGAAGATTAGGTACGTGCATTGTTTGGGGGACTTCATGGTTTGGCTTGGGGTATTTGCTTTTAAACACAAGTGAGAAAATTTACCAGTTTGACTGTTCCTACAGCAAGTTATCAGAAAGTATTTGTGAGGGGTAACCAACTTTTTCATCTTTTTTACAGAGCACAGGAGAACATCTGGTCAAGGGAAGGGCTTCTTAACATTACTGCAACTGAAATACTATTGCATTGATGTACAAAAGAGGGTCTTCTGGACTTAGAGAAAACAAGAATGAGGACAATTTATTTATGCCAAAACTTACCCTCTTATAGTTTCAGTCTTTTTTGTATGCTTTAACTCATGAAAATTAAGTTTATGTTTTTGGTCAAACATTCAAGGTCTGGATTTCAGCTTAATCGTACCTTAATAAATAAAACCTCTGATGATTATACATACCTTTTAAAATAATACTGCTGTCACCACCAGAGACACCAGAGCTCCAAACAGTCTTCCCACAATTGTCCTGGTGTTAGCTGCATTTTCTTTAAAAATACAAATCCCAAAAAGTTTAACAGAAGTGCTTTATATTGCAAATCATTGTTCACTATTGTTCAATTAGTATATCAAAGCTATGATTTTTCTTCTTTATAATCTGAAAGCTACAATTTCAGGAAAAAAGAAACACTAAAAGGAAACAGAGAAGAGCAACAATGTTCAGGTTACTTGATTCATACTATCAGACTTTTAAAGTGATACTTTAACAACTTAAGTGTGAAAAGCTGAAAGCAATTATTTTACTTAATTGTGCTGATAAAGAATTCCATGTGTGCTCATGTGATATGATTTGATGACTTCTTAATACAAGTCTCATTTAAAACCTATCAACTGCCCAGTATAGTAAATGCTGCTTCCCAGTGCAGTGCTTGGTGCCATTAACAGTGCTGCTGATTTCCAGCAGAACAGCTCTGTAAACGTTATCCAGACTGCACCACATATTTCATTATTTCCGTTGCAAAGTCTTTGCAACTTTAATCTAAAACATTTCCCAGCTTCATAGTGCAGCCATGTAATCCAGGTGGGCACAAGAAATCCTGAGATGGGTGGTAACAATGGATTCTACAAGAGGTCAAAGCCCATCTAGGAAAAACCTCTGCATGGCACCAAACTGTCTCATTACTCCAGTCAATTGCAAAGTGAGAACACTCAGACCTAGAGGAATCACTCCTTTAGGTATTGTTATTCTACTTCAGGCTTCCTTTCTGCTGCTGTGTCTCATGCAAAAAACTTGAAAAAGTCTACACTCCTCTGGAAACTTCCTGGGTATGTCTGGCAAACAGTTAAAAAATGAGAACTGCCAAAACAGAGTATTTAACTTAGTTATTGTCTTCAACTTGACTCTGTACCCACATATAGACCTATCTTGTCAGTCAGTTCCTTTGGTAGAGCAGCTTTAAGCTGCAACCTGTCCTTACACAGGAGCAAGCCTCTTAAATGATTGTAAATTCATCTTTATTTTCCCCTTAAAAGCCTTCTGCCCAGAAGCACTTGGAAATATTTCTGATGGTTGAGCAGCTGCTGTGCTATGACTGCTATCCAACATACTGATCTGGCCCATTCCTTTCTGCCCTACTGTCTCCATCCTCTTATCTGCTTTCAGCCTGTGCTGCCACAAAGGTGCTAATCTCTCTGGTGTCTTCTCTCTATTGTATATTGTATTTCTGGTCCACCAGCAGGAAGATTCTGTGAGCAGCACAGTAATTTCAGCACTAAAGAGGAGATTTATAAGGTAAGATCCACCTGCAGAGAGCAGCTAGAGAAAGGCATTTGTAGTGGATGATCCCAATCATATTTGGACTGTCTCCAGTAAATGTACAGGGACACTGATGGACTTATGCACATAATTTTGGAGTGACAGTTAAAATGTGTAACTCGAAGTGTTCAATGCTCTCCACTACAGAAGCACAATATTAGGTTTACAAGATAAGGGAGGTCGTGGTGGAATTTGAGCTGCAGGGAAGTGTATTTGTCTGACCAAACTGTTTTCTCTAACTCCCCTCCTTCAGGTTGCATATAGCCACTGCTACTTAAAATACCAATTTCAGAATGAAACTTAGCTATCATGGGACAGGGGGAAGAAAGGAAGACAAAAAGATGCAGTTAACACTAAGCCCTTTTCTGTTATGTTGCCTCTATTCTTCATGTCCTACTGGCTTGTTTCAAGTTCTTTCTTAAAAACACACCAATTAGGTGTCCAGTGTTTGTTCTCTGTGCTTTCAGTGATTGTATTTAATTGTGTAAAATTAAAGTAGCCTGTGTGCTACTGGTTTTGTATGTGCTACTGACGATGAAATAACTGTAACTAATTTTTCACAGCTGGAAATTTACTACAGTTCATAAAAACACAGGCATGCATTCAAACATATATATCCCCAGGTCTAAAACAGTCCTGCTGTGTAGCATTAAAGCTTTGAAAATAACAACTGTGTGTTCTCCTCAACAAGGTTCCTTCTGCAGTCAAACGTAGACCCCGTGTTTGGGCTTCCCTCCACTCTCTGCTAGCTTTACAGTGGTATTTGGTGCCAGCAGAGCATTTAGGACAGGATTTTGAGAGTCCTCTTGTGCCCTCAGTTATGAGGGCAGTTGGCAGCAGCTGAGGGCAGCCACCAATTTTGAGACCTTTACCACAATATGCTGCTGATTGAAAAAAAAGAGAGTTTTAGTCTTTAAATAAACACATCATCGGTAACTTTTTTTTCCTCTGGGACAGCAATAATAAAAGATCTCTTTTAGCAAACTGTACCAATTTACATAGCATTATTTTTCTCAATATTTTACACATTTCTGATTGACTCTGCGGCTGTGTATTACTCTAACTGGTCCTCATTCTCTGAAATGGAAGAATGGCAACTTACCAACTTGCAAACCTGTCACGGTAAGTTTTGTGTAGTGAGGTGTAGAAATATTACACACGTAATCTCCACTGTTGTCTGCGCTAAGATTATGCAACATCAGTGAAAAGTCATCTTGCTTAATCTGGACTCGAGGCTGGTAAGAGTGAGATGTACCATTGAAGGAGGCCATGACCAAAGTCCCTGCATTTCTGTGCCGTGTCCAGACAACACTGAAGCCTTCGGAGTATGCAGTGTCATTGCTGTTTTCACAAGGAATTTGGATGCTACTTCCTTCCTTATTAGACAGTTGGTCTGAAACAGACAATTAAAGAACTCTGTGCAATTTTTCTTGAAAATACTATGAAGATTAATTAGACTTTATTTTTCTCTGAAGTCTGATACTACTGTGGACAAATATAAAAACATATTGCACTACTTTGACATATTCAAACATCAAAAGATGTTTCTAGAAGCATCTGAATATTTGAAAAACAAGCCTATCTTACACTAAAAAAAATCTAATTGGTATTGGCAACACTTAGGAAATTTTTATTTTTTTTTCAGTTTGACTATTTATCCTCTACTTGTGTGTTTTTTTTCCGTTTGACTATTTATCCTCTACTTGTGTGTGTATCCTCTAATAGCAGTGTTTCAGCCTAGTCTAAGTTACTGTGTAAAGTAGTGTGAAATTCTACATGTTGGGAGCAGAGAGAAAATACAAATAATCAGATACCTGCACATGTAAAACAAAAGGCTAAAACTCTTACAAGATAGAAGAAAGAAAGAATAAAAAGACTGTATTTGGGTTAAAATAACTTTCAGCTCTAGTGGACTATGTTGTCTATGTTGAACATTTAACAACTTATCAATAGCTTTAAAAAAAACAGGAAGGGAAAGGAAAGAGCAGGTAAGTGGAACTAATACCTAATGTATAAAATACTAATTAAGACAAATAAACACTCTGGCACAACTATCAATTTGACAGCAGAGATTTTCTGCAAACCAGAGGAGGCTATGGTGGCTGGCAGTCAGCTGGAGGGGAAGCTAATACATTATCTTGACATGCTATAACCACACTTGGTTTCTGGGTGTGAGACTGAAAATCATACTATTACAGAGGCAAAAAGAAAGCAGTTTGTTTTCAAAATGTTCTAGTGAGAGGATAGACGGATGCAGGGAAATTCAAACGGAAGTGTAATGAAATGTACCTTTTTCTCTTGTGGATCAGAGAGATAGGGCAACAAAACAGACACTTATAGTGCAATTGTTAGCTACAATGATGCCATACTTGAAAAAATCCATTTTGTAAGCTAGTGTATGCAAATTAAAAACTGCTCTTGTTCTGAAGCATATGCTTCAGATTAGGAACTGAGAGTGTCTGGGTACACTGTAGGGGGAAATCAGGGTGATAGAAGCAGCTATGCACATCTCACAAGGGAACTGCTCTTGTATTGCTCTTGGTCCAATTAAAAAATATTTCCTGAGAAACAGGAGAGGTTGAAGAGTACCAGCTATTTAATCAAACTGAATTTCCAGTGAAAGTCAGAAGAGAGTTGAAATTACACAGCCCTGTGTTTCCTCAACTAAGAACATGAGCTGCTGTCTGCTAAAACACAAACAGTGTTTGCTACTCTCCATTCCTATGCACCTACAGCACTCAAACTGGCACTTAAGAATGTATGTGAAGAGAAGTGCAATGAAAGGATCAAACAGTACTGATAAAAGTCTGGCAAAAGATTCAAAACGGACAGAGTAAGGATCATACACCTCTCGAACAGCAAGAAACTTTCACCTCCCTCATTAACCCACATATTCTCTAAGGCTTCCATGTATTTTGTCTGAGTTCATTCTTCTCTTAATAGAGGATAAAGTTTGTTTATTAGGCAGCTCTTAAAATGTGAAGTGGACATGGAAAAAATGTTCTCAGTAAAGGCAACATACAGAAAAGTGAGCTAGCCCCTCTTATTCCTATTTCTTGGAAGTAATTTTTAATGTTGCCTTGCAATCCCAACAGATGAGTTTCAAAAAGAAAGGCATATCTTTTTGCCCCATTCTATATCCATATTGTCCCACTGCACAAACATTGTCTTTAATTTGACTCTGAAGCCAGCCATGGCATTCAGTAACGATGCAGGAAGAGACTTCCATTCATTCCTACCTTGCAACATCCATTCAGCAGACCACCTTTCACGAGGGAGATGAATATGGCAGTGGTAAGGACTTGCTGTGTTTGTAATTTTCTGGTCACTTCTAAGAGAATAGAGAGCTCCATCCCTGGTTTCCTCCCGATCTATTTCTTGGATGGATGTATTGCCTTGTACCCAAGAAATACGTGGTACTGGATAAGTGAGAAAGGCATAGCACTTCAGTATCCTTTCTGTGTCTGTCTTTTGGTATTCCAGAGCATAATAAGAGGAAACTGTAGATGGAAAAAAAAATCGTCTTATTTTCAAAAGTGATTGGTCTTTTGAAACAACATTGAGGAGAATAAACACAGCTGAGAACAAAAGTCAATCTGTGTTTGACTTCAGAAGAAAGCATAGGACTACTTACTGTTGCTGCCAGGGTCTGTACTGTTCTGACAAGCCACATAGTGTTTTAAAACTCAAGTATACCACCTAACTACCCCTTAGAAATCATGGTACAGTAGGTTATGAGAATACATGCTGCACTCTAATTTTTCAACTCATGCTACAACTTTTCACCAGAGAAAACAACTTCCTTGATAACACCCTCAGGCCCAAAAGGTGCTCTGTTGGGTTGGAGGATTTTGATTCTATGTGAGAAATAACACAAGAAAATCTGTTGCTGTCATTTCATTCCCACTGACATGATCTAAGCATTTTGGATTACTGACCTCTTACGTGTAGCATGACGTCCAGTTGTGTGGCAGTTTGCGCTGTTCCCACATAGCAATTATAAACACCCTCATCACTCAGAGTCAGTTTACTCAGTTTCAAGGAGGCATTTCCACTAGGAATATTCTCGTGGAAAAGGTGTGTTCTGTTTCTGTAATCTGTGTCTTGTCTTTGCAGCTGATCCTTCTGGTTGTAGTATACGTGCACAATTTTGTCCCCTTTCTTCCAGTGAATTACTTCATCATGCCCAGGTGGGAAAGGACAAGGGAGGATTGAATCCTTGGAAAACAGTCCTGTTACTTCTTCCTGTTCTGTCAAACCTAAAGCCCATGAGTACAAATGAGTAAGTTTAATCTAGTCTGCAAGCATATTTCTGCCCTTCCTTATGCATGACAAAAATATGCCCTGGCAGGCTGCACAGTCCTGCCCAGCATGCCAAGGTGTCTTTCATGGCTCTTCTGTAGCTTGAGACTCTTAGGACAGCAAAGGTCTTCATTGAGTTTAATCAGTATTACAACACAGAGCTCTGGTCTTTGAACTTATAATCAGGTTAACCAGAAATCCTGAGTACGCACCTACGTATCAAATCTGCACACTTACCACCTTACCACCTAAGATTTGAATGTCTTTCCACACCTTAAACCACACCTTTGGCACCTTGAACAACAAATCCTTTTGAGCTGCAGCTTGCTACTTGCCCAGAGTCCCATGTTGCAATGAACTGTGTTCCCAACGACTCTCACATAGTGCCAAGCAGTTGTACCATCACAGGAAAAAAGTACGTGATGGTGCAAGTGATGGGGAGGACAGAACTTCTTGAAACAGCTGCACCACCACAGACAGTGTCAAGAAGCTCTGTCCTAGCCCTCAGAGATAATTAATGTGTACATTCCTCAAAATTAATTCACACACATGGTAGCATCTCATAGCTGTCAACATTTAATATTTAGGCCTTGCAGGCATAAAACAACAATTTAAAATCAATCTTTTCAAAAACTGTCTGCATTGACTTAGCATTGTCACGTGGGCCTTCGTGGCCAAGGTCAGACAACCTGTTAGGCTGCTAGTGACTGCCCAGATGCAGATGTCTTCTCAGAAATTTTGGGGCCCTCTCCTGCTCACCTGGCAGGGCAACCCGAACGACTTCTCATCAGTCTTCTCAATGCAAAGTGCACTGTGCTTCAAACCATTTTCAGTACAAACTGACAACTACTGCCTGCTGAGCACTCCACCAGCAGAGCCATGGGGCAGAAACACTGGCAGGTAACAGTCTGGTGGCTCAATGTGCTCAATGGCTATGGCCACCCATGCAGCCACCTTACAAACAGTCTTTTGCTACAGGAATATTTTACATTACCCAAAACCTATTCCTTACCATTAATAAACACTGTTTGAATTAATTAACTCACCCTATTAAAATTAGCAATAATTGCCTTCTTCATTATTTTTCAGCTACAACCTACCTCAAAGTGTAGAGCATATGCAAAACAAAGAGATGACAGCAGTCAGTATGTTCTGTGTCTTCATGTCTTCTTTGGTTCACAGTAAACTTGTGTCAAACTGGGAACAGAAAAGAAGGGGAGAAAACCTGTTAAAATGCAGGTAAAGACATGCCCTAATGACATAATTTCCTATGTAGTGCTTATTAAGGACTATAAGCCTTTGTAGCGTGTTTTTTGTTTGCATGTCTTGGCCTGGATTTTTTCCCTTAAGTTCACTGTATGATCCTATGCATTTCAAAATAGTTGAGGCCCTCTCATTACCTTGCAGTCCCTTGCAGATGGATAATTTATTTTTAATAAATAGGAAGTGTTTTGTTTCAGTGCTCTTGCAGGGCTAGGGCAATATTAATCTTCATCATTCCTGAACAGGACACCACAGAAAAAGGGACAAAAACAATTTGCAAAAGGATGTAAGATGTCCATTGTCAAGCCTGATTTTTTCACTTCTTAAAATAGATTTCTGACTACTGCAACATTTGACTTTCTGGGGTGGGAAATTTGATTGCATTGCAAATACTGCAGATATAGAGAACTTTTCACACTTTACTTTTCATCAGCAGGACATCAGCTGAACTATCAAAAATACATGTGTGGAAGTCTAGGGTAGGAATGCAAAGGAGAAGGAGGTTCTCCCATCATATCTTCTGGTTTGTCAGTTAAATAACAATGAACTGGAAGTTCTCATGCACAACAGAAAAGGAATAAACTTGTTGTAACTGATAGACTGTGCTAATTTTCCTGTTTGTTACAGACTTAAATGCCACAACCAAGAAATCGTACACTAAGGTATGATATTGTTTATACAGAGAGTGTACTAGAATTAAGATCACTGCAGTCATGTTAGTTACCAGTGCTCTAGTTTTCAGAATTATTTCACACAGAACTACCACAGGCTCAGTTGAACAGCAGCTAAGCCAAGGTTACTGAGAGCAAGGCAAGGTGCTAGAATGCATTTTCCAAGACATACTGAATAGAGGAGAGACCTCATTGCTGTATACAA